CCGTATCTGGTATCCCATCCCAAGGGTCCTGTTGTTGTTGTAAGAGCCACCAGCATCACTTACCTTTAATGAGATTTAGTATGAACAAACATTTTCTGCATAAAACACAGTAAATACTTGTCTGAAATAGTGCAACTTTGAGTTAACTAAAGCAAACAATAGATGCAGCATGGTTTATATAATTTGTAAGACTTTGCTGAATTACGTCCCATTAAAGTGTTCCTGTTTCTGTTGTAAGAGAGACAAGTGTAACTTATATTTAAATAATTTAAATAATAATCTTTTTTTGACATTTGCCAAGGTGGAGCATGAATCCTATTTAATTCCATATAATATAGCGAAACCTTTCATTATTCTTGTAATAAATGACCAGGTTCTTAACATTATAAAATAATCATGTTTCTGTCTTAGAAAGATATTCAGGCTACAAACAAGTTTGTAAATGCAGTTTCCCAGGGAAACCCTTCCAGTCGATTTCAAGGCCCGCAAGCCTACCAAGCTACAGGCTGGACTGAGCCTTTTTTAGGCCAACACGGAGTTAGGCTCTCCCTTACCACGGACGTTAGATTTTCTGCCATCGCTGTTTGACTCGGGTTTGTCCTATCGCTCAATCAACTCGGCGAGGTTTGCTTTATCTTCTATTTTGCAGTTAAGTGATAGTGAAGTCACTTTCGGACAGCTACCTATTGTTTAGCACTTTATGAAAGGTGTATTCGAACTGAGCCCGGCTCTACCGCGTTACCAGACAACATGGGATGTTAGCAAGGTCTTATAGTTTTTTCGAAAGCAGCCTATACCTTCCGCGCTGACTTTGAAGGAGCTTACTGTTAAAGTTTCCTTCTTATTGACCTTGAATTTTTGCAAGCATTAGCAAAGATACGTAGATCTCGTTCAAATACACTTTTCTCTGATCCCAGTTCGATATCATGGAAAAGAATATTGTGTTAAGATGATCGTAAGAAACTCTGTGAATGAAGTGACACGAATATTTGTACAAAATGCCCGCACTAACATATTGTAGGTGAAGAAACTTAGCGGGATTTCCGCCTGGAAATTTCCATATGGTAAAATTACAGGATGAACATACCACAAGATTGTGAGGAATTCAACGCAAGAATGAATCTGCTTTGAAATATTGTCTTGTGTTTAGTCAAAGTTTAGCATCGGTCGGAGTAAAGAAATTCGGTATGTCTTCAATTGTGACAAGTATCCTCAGTTCAACAGTTGGTTTATTATGGAATAAGGTCAGAGACTCGACGGCAGACAAATTCAAAGACGGCGATGTAACCGATGCAGAAATTCGTAAGATTGTCGTACGCGAGTTAAATGATATCAAGTCTAAAATCGATGGCCTTTCTAGATCAACTTTACTCGCCAGTTGCGATTTCCTTCAAGAAGGAGTAGGGTTACTCAGTGTTTCTCTTGATAAATCAAATCCCGAGCAGAAAGCGAGCGAAACTCAGGACGAACCAGGTGAACCTTCGAGTGTTATTCAGTCTGGTATCTTAAACCAAGCAATAGAGCTTCCTCTCGCCATGGAAAAGCTTAAAATGAATTCGGACAGAGAGTTGGAAACTGCGAGAAAAAGATTCGAGAAAGCGCGCGAGACAGCAACCACTGCTTTCTGCAATGAGGCATTTAGTATCGAAGATCGAATATTTGCCGCGAAGCTACGAATAGTTTCAGAAATACTGGAACATGTCGATAGTCCTGAGACCGCAATCACTGGGTGTTTGACGTTTTTGGAGACCATTCATAGCTTACCAGCCATTCAAGAGATATTCTCAGTGTATTTGAACGGTGGAGTCAAATCGGTGTTGAATAAAACTCAACGAGTGGAGAACGTCAAGTCGGTTATGTTAATCAACTATGTGTTGTTTCAATATGTTGGGAAATTCAGCAGCAAGTATTCGTTTGAAGTGCCCGCCTGCATGCCAACGATTGAACTTCCTGATCGTAGTTTTCATCCAATAAGAAATTGGAAGGAAATTTCAACAAGAAGGTCTATGGGAGAGGAATTGCCTCATCCTTCCTACGAACAGTTCCTTGATAAAAAAATAAGACCCCGTTTATCTGCTGTGAACAGTCAGGGGGATGTTCTTACTGTCCCTGCCGGGTCTTGTGACCACATCATGATTATCCATGAGGCAGGAAAAATCAAATGGGTTGAAATACCTGAATTTGCAAGTTATATTTTAAAGGCGCTTGCTGTTGATATGAATAAGAATGTTTACTTGGTGAGAAGACGTTTAGATGAATTAGGATTCATGTTGACGATATTGGACGAGAATTACAATGTAAAAGCAAATCATACATTGGATTTTCTCGAGGACAAAGGTCTCTATGATATTAAGATAGCGATATGCAAAGACGATGATATTATCATCATCCAAAACGAAGACCCTCATGTGTATGTTTGTGACAAGACGTGTCAATTGAAATACAAGTTTAAACGTGACTCGAGTGAGGCATTTTCATTGAGTATTTCCCAGCAGAATGAAATCATGTTACCAACAGACGATCATACGGGGGTTCAAATATACACCAAGGAAGGAAATCTGAAGACAACAATAAAAGTCCCAGAAGATCATGAGGTATGGAGCGTCGCATTTCACTACGAAATTTGTAAAATATTAATTTTAACCTTGGTTAAGGAAAAAGATTCCTATTTCATTCTGTGCTACCCTGAAGCAGGCGGAAAGCTGGAGACTCTTACGTTTTTTTGTAAAGATGACGATCAGTTTCGTCCGTATCTGGTATCCCATCCCAAGGGTCCTGTTGTTGTTGTAAGAGACAGGAGCATCACTTACCTTTAATGAGATTTAGTATGAACAAACATTTCCTGCATAAAACACAGTAAATACTTGTCTGAAATAGTGCAACTTTGAGTTAACTAAAGCAAACAATATATGCAGCATGGTTTATATAATTTGTGAGACTTTGCTGAATTACGTCCCATTAAAGTGTCCCTGTTTCTGTTGTAAGAGAAACAAGTGTAACTTATATTTATATAATTTAAATAATAATATTTTTTTGACATTTGCCAACATGGACAATAAGCTTTTAATGACATTTAAAAGCGTATTAATCCTGTTTCATATGATATAATATAGTGAAAACTTTCTTTGTTCTTTTTTAATAAATGATCAGGTTCTTAACATAATAAAGATAATCATGTTTCTCTCTTAGATAGATATTCAGGCTACAAACAAGTTTGTAAATATTGTGTCTCGGGGAAACCCTTCCAGTCAATTTCAACGCTACAGCCCGGAACGGCGGAAGCCTTTTTTAGGCCAACAGCTAGGGGAGGGGGATATATCCACCTTAGAACAACTTCTGCCAAGGATTTCGTCTAGAACAGGTGTCCTCTGCCCCTCTTAGAAAGTAGTCCAAGAACAACTCACGTTTTAGTCCCAGCCTCAAGTAAATAATTTTTCTTCTTTTATGGAGGACTTATATTTAAATTATATAATAGGTCAAGGGTGATTTCCAAAGGGGGCAGTTGTCTTCTCACTATTCTAAATGGGCTAGACTTACTTGAGATAGCACTATATTTGAAACAGTTCTTGGAGAGAAATTGGACTTCTGCAGGGGCGCCGGAACATCGATAATAACGGGGGCAGATATTCATATATTCGTGTTCGTAGATCGTAAAAACAATCGATTTGAAACGAAGTTAATAATGCAGAACACGAATATATGAATATCTGCCCCCGTTATTATCGATGTTCCGGCGCCCCTGGACTTCTGAAACATTTGGTTTGTCATATCTGCGGCAACAACTACAACAACCTGACTACTCGTTAAGACCATTAACATAATTGAATCCTCTTGGAGAGACAGCACTAAATCTCAGTACCAAGTGCATCTGTAGAAATGGTTATAATTTTGTATGAAGAGGGACTGTGATATCATCTTCCTTCCCTTACCACGGACGTTAGATTTTCTGTCATCGCTGTTTGACTCGGGTTTGTCCTATCGCTCAATCAACTCGGCGAGTTTTGCTTTATCTTCTATTTTGCAGTTAAGTGATAGTGAAGTCACTTTCGGACAGCTACCTATTGTTTAGCACTTTATGAAAGGTGTATTCGAACTGCGCCCGGCTCTAGCGCGTTACCAGACAACATGGGATGTTAGCAAGGTCTTATAGTTTTTTCGAAAGCAGCCTATACCTTCCGCGCTGGCTTTGGACGAGCTTACTGTTAAAGTTTCCTTCTTATTGACCTTACTCAGTGGACAACGCTGTCAAATTATTCATCTTCTCACTGTCGATAACATGATTCTCGTTGCGGACAAGTGCACTTTCCACGTCATGGAGAAAGTCAAACAGACACGTGTCGGAACTCATGTCAAACCCCTCGAGTTTTTGAAATATCCATTTGAGCTTCAGCTTTGCGTCGTTACTCATCTCTTATATCAAGAGAACTGATGAAAATAGCCATGATAGAAAGCAATTTCTACTGAGTTATGTGAAACCGTATTGACCTGTTTGTGGCTGTTTCCAAAGATACTATATCTCGATGGATAAAGTCTGTTTTGGTAGCTGTAGGTTTAGATGTTAGCAAATTTAAAGGTCATAGTGTTCGAGCAGCAACTACATCCTTTTTAGCGTCCAATAACTGTAACATTAAGGATATTATGTTATCCGCAGGATGGTCGAATGAACAGACATTTCAACGGTTTTATAATAAACCGAGCGAGGAGGAATTTAATTTTGGCGCTTCGATGTTAGAGTGCTATACAAACGTTAATTGTTCCTAGGATATATAATATACTATATATATAATATACTTCTCTATATATCGAGATATCTTTCCACTTGGTTTTATCACGCTGGCTATAGTTAGAGTGGTTTGTGTATCTCTGCAAGATTAAAATTAAGTTTTGCTGCAAGATTAAAATTTTTTACTAACAGCTTGTTGCTCCATGTTATTTGATCAATAACAACTTTTTAGGAGCAGTTCAAGTTTCTTAAATGAATATCACGTCTTTTCAAATAGTCAATGGCGTTGGGTTTAGCGAGTGGTCCAGTTTTTCGCCTTGCAGCAAAGATTGTGTTAAGAAAAGGCAAAGATATTGTTTCTCTTCAAACCACGCTGACTGTCCTGGGGCATCGTCGCATGGCGTGGAATCTCAATGGCAGAATTGCGCGAACGAGGAATGTTACGGTAGGTCCTTTACTCAGTGACATACGTAGATCAGTGGCTGAGATCGTTGTCTTTCCCAGTCGTGACTCGTGTAAATCGTGTTGCGTGGCGATGTCTTGATCCTACACTGTGTTAACCATTGTTGGCATGTGCTGTGATGCTGAGTCATTCGGCCACATTTGGGGAGTAAAAAAATTGATTTTTAATGATAGGCACCTTCATCGTGTAAAAATACGAACGCCTTCCCCTCCCACCCACAGCCACCTGACACATACTATAGCTAGATATAATTGCATGGGTCATTGACTAAACCGCAAGCCATGACCTAACCCTGCAAGCCAGGCTCTTCTACCTTCGCTCCACGGCACTCGTTGGCTTGCGAGGTTGCCAATAGCCTTCCAGAAATACAACCTCTGAGCTCGTCTATCTTCGTTAAACGCTTTTCTTTTCTTGTTTCAGCTCCTGTTGCTGGTCATTGGGGTCGCTGGTCCTCTTGGACAGAATGCGATGAAAATTGCAAGCGTCATCGATCCAGAAAATGTTCAGATCCCGCCCCGATGCATGGCGGGAAAGACTGCCCAGGGGTTGCGAAAGAAGAAAAAGATTGCTACGCCAACAGTACATGCAACCCAGGTTTGTTTTTTGGATAAATTCATTTCAGCTTGGTTAGACAACATCTTGCCTCTGCCTGCCCATCATGTTTGAAGAGCGTTTTAGCTGCTCAGGCGAAGTCTTGTTAAACTAATGATGGAATATTCTTTTATTTCTTTGTAGATAACTGTGATTTTACGCGCGGTAGTTACTGTCATTGGACCCGTTATAAAAACATGGATTATTTCTGGCAAGCACATAAAGGATCAACACCAACCGGGAGCACTGGTCCAAATCAAGACCATACTACTGGCACGGGTAAGAAATTTCAGGGATCCATCATCATCATTGATCTCTACTCATCGGCCATCTCTATCCCTCACTTTCCATGGTTACCCATCATTATCAAACGTTATTCATTATTGTCTATCGTTACTTATCGGTGCACCTGATCCTCACTATCCACTATTATCCCACAAATATCCATGATTATCCACTATTATCCAAGAGTATCCACCATTATCCATAATTTCCATTATCGTCAAATTTCCAGGCCATTACATTTTTACCGAGGCCAGCTTCCCTGCCAAAGAGAACGACACAACACTCCTAACAAGCAAACTGTTTCCACCCTCGCAATGTCGTTGCATTTCCTGGTACTATTACATGTATGGCCGCTCAATGGGAGAACTCAGCGTGTACATTAAAGACCCTGTGGGTTCTAAGAGGATAATATGGGATAAGAAAGGTGATCAGGGAAACAGATGGATATTAGGTAGCGCAACAATATCTAACGTGTCTACGACTAGTTACCAGGTTTGTATGATATTTTCATTTTAATAATTTTTTTACTCTTCAACATTACTTTTGGGCCATCCATGGAAGTATCGCAATGCCTTACACCGGATTTCGAAAGAAATGCTCTAATTGGACTGTTTTTAGTTGCATACAATCATTTCAATCCAGTTAAAGAGCAGTTGTGAAAATGATGCTGATAAGAATCTTTTCCTAAGATCTTCAAATTGTGCATGTATTGAAATACATCGATCGATACAACTTCATAGGATTAGTTTGTGCTTTGATTAGTTTGTGCATGCATGAGGGTATAGGAATAACAGGTCACCATTCTAAATCAGCAGAGACACAGGAGGGTTGGGGGCCCCTCTATAGCCCAAACGTAAATTTGTTCTACAGCTCCGTTAATTTAGACTCAACCTTGTAGTCCCAGGTAGCAGTTTTATTTCGGATTAAATGTGAGGCAATGACTAAAATCATCCAATATCATTCGATACTTTCCAAGCATCTTTGATCTTCGATTTTTTACTTAAAACGGTTTTATCCCTGTGGGGAAAAATTACTGCTTGTTCACATTCTTACGTGACAAATTTTTAAAAAATTACATCACAAACTTTCATTTAGGTGGAATTTGAAGCAATTCGTGGCCGATCTTTTTATTCTGACATGGCTTTGGATGACATCCATTTCACGGAAATGCCCTGTGGTAAGTCGCTACACTCTGTGATAAACATGATCATATTGATGTTCATCGATGGTCCTCAAATTAATGTACATCTCTGATTGACTCTGAAACTACTTAAGGGACCCCGACTGGTTCTTCCGATAGATGAAGGGCCTTTGATAAGACCAACAATGCCTTGATCCTTCAATAAAACATGGTTCTCGCGATGGTAGAAATTGGAATCATTTTTTAATGCTAACAGTGGTTTTGCATTTGAAACATTGATTCAACGAGAATGCGAGTTGGCAAACAAAGGTTAATTTTTCTGCATGAGGGATTTTTTTTGATGAACTATCAATACTTGGTCAAACGTGAACAAGAGTTCTATGCGATTTAAACCGAGTTGACTGGCCATTGATCAGAATTTAGGACATCAGATAACAACCGACTTTCACTGTAATTTTTTAAATATAAAATTAAGTAAGCTTATCTTAAACGAGCTTTACAAAAGCTCTTTGTTCAAATGACAATTGTTCGGTTCTTGAAATCAACACAAAAGGCAAACGTCAAACACAGCTCTTCGTATATATTTAGGTATTCAACACTTGGGATGTTTTAACGATCGTTATAAAAGAGCTTTGCCAGACTTGATTGCGAATCTCCGGGATAAAATAGACTGGTATGACATGCAAAAGACCGTCAGAGAATGCGCCTGTGTTGCTTATGACAAAGGATATAAGGTATTTATAGAATTATTAAAATACCAGACCAGTGCAAGGCTTTCATGTTTGTCTCAGGCCTCAATAAAGTCAATTATAACTGGACCATCCACAACATGGATGTTCTAAGCCAATTCCTCTCATAAATATAAACTTCGCTTCCATTTTTCAATGAACAAGCATTGATTATGTTGTTATTTAGTATTTTGCTGTGCAGTTTTATGGAGAGTGTTGGGGTGCAAGAAGTTTGATTGAATATGACAAATATGGTGCTTCCAACGACTGTTGGTCTGGTGTCGGAAAAGATTTCACGAATTATGTTTATAAATTCACGAAATAAGATACGTTTTATGTTCCTTTTATCTATATCTTAACATTCCCAATATTTTAGGATTAAGCCACTAGTATGTAGGAAGTTGCATGACAAAAGTCACAAAGATTGCAAAGAAAAAGACTTGCGTCCGTGCAAATCTATTCTTATAGAGAGTTTACCGTGTAGTATTGTATATATATTTATTTTAATTTTTGAATAGAAACAGCCCACTATTGCGTTTAATGATTAGTTGAAGTGAATAAAAATAATTGACATCTATTAATATTAGCACTGATATCAAAACGAGTATCATATTCCTAATATAGACATCTCTCTAATATAGACATCTCTCAAATACAAACATCTCTCTAATACAGACATCTCTCTAATACAAACAACTCTTTAATACAAATTTCTCTCTATATAGATATCTCTCTAATACAAACATCCCTATCTCTACAATACAGACATTTTAACTTTTGATTGATGTGAACGAGGAAATAGTAATGATGTAATGATGTATGCGTGTTCTTATCTGAACGTCCATAACTTATCTACTTGTTTGCATCTATCAAAAGAGGAAAACTTGATCGTAATACAGACATCTTTCCAATACAAACATCTCTCTGACATGACTGCACAATTCGTCAAGTTAAGACAGGTTGAAATTCATCCCAAGTTTTTGACCCGAAATATTAACCAGAGAGGTGCTGAAATCACCTAACGCTCGCCTGCACTGTTTGTCTAGAATAAGGCTAAACTCTGTATGAAAGGTATCTGTATGAAGCACAAATTACCGATCTTTTTATTACAAATTACAAGGCTAAAATCCGCGTTGGAAGGTAATATTAAGCACAAACTTCAGATATTAGTTGTGACCTCAGAATTACTGGCCAAAACTGGCCTCGGAATTACATTAGTTTTATTTGTGACCAATATTTCTTCCGTTTCTCGCAATCCGCGCACGTGATATCAACAGGTAAGTTAACAACGATTTTACGGTAGTTGGTCCATTCAGGTTTAGACATATAGGCGGCCCTTGCCCAGACATGTTTTCCTTCTCGCGGCGCTCGCGCCTCGCGCGTGTACGCGAGTCTACTTGGTCTAATCTGACCAAGTATAGATTGCCAGTCGCCACATTTTTGATGAAAACATCCATCTAGACAATCTAGACAGGAATCGGCCGACTAAAATCGTTGTGTGTGCGCCTAGCTTTATGAAATAAACAAGATTGGATTTTTATATCTACACAAAAAAGGATTATGCATCAAACAACGAAATGGTATGTACATAAATCTTATAGGTGCTTTAAATATTTGCTTGTGTATCTACATAAATAATATGCAAATATATGTCACATGCGTTGCCATTTGCCTTTGCATTCCGAGCCTATCGGCTTTCTACTTATAAATACTTATGTGCTAAAGCTTGTAATTGCGAATTATCTGACAATATTCTTTAAACTTTAACGTTGGACTATGTTTTATATATTTTCACTCCCTGAATGATTTCTATATTTAAGTCATTTAATAAGCGATTGAATTTTGATACGGCATGTCACAACACAATCTCATAATTTATAATTGTACATGTACAATACAAACAAATGGTAGCATACAGGTGAAAATATTTGAAAGTTTTTCATTTGGCTTAGGGTTGTACAAATAGTTTCGTTAAATATGATTCAGCTACAACTTTAAACTAAAAAAAACAGGGCTACACAATAGCCCTGAAAATCGTAATGAGCGTGATAACTCTGGATAACTCTAACATTGACCTTATCATGATGCTAATAAGTTTAACATTTGCCTTATCATTTGATAATTTTGAGCAAAGCTCTCTTTATTATTGTATAAATGTGTACCAAATGGCACTGAATAGTCACAATGCATATCGATGACTTATATTTATGATGATTCCTCTGATGTAAAGCCATAATAAATTTAAACCAGAGAGGTGCTGAAATCACCTAACGCTCGCCTGCACTGTTTGTCTAGAATAAGGCTAAACTCTGTATGAAAGGTATCTGTATGAAGCACAAATTACCGATCTTTTCATTACAAATTACAAGGCTAAAATCCGCGTTGGAAGGTAATATTAAGCACAAACTTCAGATATTAGTTGTGACCTCAGAATTACTGGCCAAAACTGGCCTCGGAATTACATTAGTTTTATTTGTGACCAATATTTCTTTCGTTTCTCGCAATCCGCGCACGTGATATCAACAGGTAAGTTAACGGACCAGGCAAAAGTCCCTGCTTTAAGCCGGGTGCACACACAACGATTTTACGGTAGTTGGTCCATTCAGGTTTAGACTTGCCCAGACATGTTTTCCTTCTCGCGGCGCTCGCGCCTCGCGCGTGTATAGATCGCCAGTCGCCACATTTTGATGAAAACATCCATCTAGACAAGCTAGACAGGAATCGGCAGACTATTAAAAATCTTCGTGTGTGCGCCTAGCTTTATGAAATAAACAAGATTGGATTTTTATATCTACACAAAAAAGGATTATGCATCAAACAACGAAAAAGTATGTACATAAATCTTATAGGTAGTTCAAAGGGTCCTGTCTACAATTTAACTGGCTTAATATATTTGCATGTGTATCTACATAAATAATATGCAAATATATGTCACATGCGTTGCCATTTGCCTTTGCATTCCGAGCCTATCGGCACAGTTTAGAGATATATCCTTAAACTGTGCTATCGGCTTTCTACTTATAAATACTTATGTGCTAAAGCTTGTAATTGCGAATTATCTGACAATATTCTTTAAACTTTAACGTTGGACTATGTTTTATATATATTCACTCCCTGAATGATTTCAATATTTAATAAGCGATTGAATTTTGATACGGCATGTCACAACACAATCTCATAATTTATAATTGTACATGTACAATGCAAACAAATGGTAGCATACAGGTGAAAATATTTGAAAGTTTCTCATTTGGCTTAGGGTTGTACAAATACTTTCGTTAAATATGATTCAGCTACAACTTTAAACTAAAAAAAAAACAGGGCTACACAATAGCCCTTAAAATCGTAATGAGCGTGATAGCTCTGGATAACTCTAACATTGACCTTATCATGATGCTAATAAGATTAACATTTGCCTTATCATTTGATAATTTTGAGCAAAGCTCTCTTTATTATTGTATAAATGTGTACCAAATGGCACTGAATAGTCACAATGCATATCGATGACTTATATTTATGATGTCCTCTGATGTAAAGCCATAATATTTAAAAAATATAGCATCTTAACATTGACCTTATCATTATGCTAATTAGCTTAACATTCACCTTATCATTTGATAATTTTGAACAAAATTCCCATTATTTTTGTGTAAATATGTGCTAATTGTCACCATATAGTCACAAGACATATCGATGAGCTATATTTATGATGAATCTTCTGATGCAAAGCCATAATATTTAAAAAATATAACATCTTAACATTGACCTTATCATTATGCTAATTAGCTTAACATTCACCTTATCATTTGATAATTTTGAGCAAAACTCTCTTTATTATTGTATAAATGTGTACCAAATGGCACTAAATAGTCACAATGCATATTGATGACTTATATTGATAATGATTCCTCTGATGTAAAGCCAAAGTATAGAAAAAATATAGCATTTTAACATTGACCTTATCATTATATTTTGTTGTATAATTTTCACTCCCCCCTGGTAAATGGTTCTTTTGCAACAAATAGACTCCTTAAGTAGATAAGTTGAAAATAATGGGAAAATAAAAGTGGCATCTTAACATTCTACTTATCATGTAGTGTGGACGCGGACGGGGACGGGGGACGGGGACGGGGACGGGGACGCGGACGCCAAGACTATAGCAATAGCTCTCTTGCACTAAAGTGCAGGCGAGCTAAAAATATAGCATCTTAACATTGACCTTATCATTATGCTAATTAGCTTAACATTCACCTTATCATTTGATAATTTTGAACAAAATTCCCATTATTTTTGTGTAAATATGTGCTAATTGTCACCATATAGTCACAAGACATATCGATGAGCTATATTTATGATGAATCTTCTGATGCAAAGCCATAATATTTAAAAAATATAACATCTTAACATTGACCTTATCATTATGCTAATTAGCTTAACATTCACCTTATCATTTGATAATTTTGAGCAAAACTCTCTTTATTATTGTATAAATGTGTACCAAATGGCAATAAATAGTCACAATGCATATTGATGACTTATATTGATAATGATTCCTCTGATGTAAAGCCAAAGTATAGAAAAAATATAGCATTTTAACATTGACCTTATCATTATATTTGTGTATAATGTTCACTCCCCCCTGGTAAATGGTTCTTTTGCAACAAATAGACTCCTTAAGTAGATAAGTTGAAAATAATGGGAAAATAAAAGTGGCATCTTAACATTCTACTTATCATGTAGTGTGGACGCGGACGGGGACGGGGACGGGGACGGGGACGGGGACGGGGACGCGGACGCCAAGACTATAGCAATAGCTCTCTTGCACTAAAGTGCAGGCGAGCTAAAAAGGACAGGCGTGCATTTATTGAGTTCATTGAATCGAGCCAAGCACAAACGAGAACTCTTGGCTGAGTTAAAACTTCAAGCTGACTTCAAAAGACGGTTGACATTACCAGAAATCATGTATCACCACACTTAAACCTGGACCTAATCACACCTGATCTCTGCCAGTCGAGATGCAGAATTTGTGAAGGTACGTTCGGTGAACTGTTATTATTTTATCTCTACTCTGGCATCACACTAGTTTTCCCACAAGACTTGATAAGTGAGAGGCGAGATTGCTCAACTAATGGTGCTCAAATCTTTCAACCTATGTAGATAACTGTCATTTCAAGGTGGAAATACTGTCAGTGGGTCTTTAAATAAGGATGAAATGCTATTGAAAACACAAAGGACCATCAGAAACAGGAAAAACTGGTATTGATCAATATTATATTACTGGAACGGGTAAGAAATAAAAGTGATCCGTCATCACAATTTCTTGTTATTAATCATCACTACAGATATCACCTTTATTCCATTCGACCTAACCGTTATCCATCAATATATAATTCGCTACACGTTTCTTCTGAAACGATCATATCGGATGTATATTATATATATATATATATATAAATATATATATAATATAATATTATATATATATATATATATATAATATATAATAATTATAATATAATAATATATATATATATATGACAATACTATTACAAAAGAGACTTCAACT